GTCTTGACACTTATGCTAATAAAAATGTTACCAACATAACGTTCAAATTAAACCACATTTTAAAAATTGTAATTAAAATTTTAAACAGCATTAAGTTTTTTAAAATTATTTCGTGTCCCAACTTTTTTAAAGACAGAGTTGAACATGATCAAAAAGGCACATTCATACCATGGCCTTAAAAGGCATCATCCATTCAGAAGGCTCTTCAGTGACAAAGATTAAAAGTGGAATGTGAGGGAGAAAATGGAAACTTGGTATTAAACGAAGGACGCAGATGGACAATGCTGCTATGGCTCTTGTCCTCAGAGATTTTCAAATTTCTTTCGAGGAATGTGCAAAGCCAGTTACCTTAAGCATGTGTCCAAGTAAAATAATCATGATCCTTTCAGGGGACAGTGTTGATTTGCAGCTTTACAAGCCAGAATTTTAAATATATTAAAACTCTAAGTCTATAATAGTTTTAAATAAACATTCAGTCATATTGTTTTTATAACTACTGCTATCTTTGTTGGATAAGTGGATGTTTTCTTTTCAGGGCCTGCATATAGATACTATTCAACAAGATTATTTCATGCATATAGTGTAAAATAAAACAAAACAAATCCTAAAACAATGTTCATACGAACACAGAGTTCGTTTTGGCTCAGCCTAAACTCTGCTTTAAGGAATGTGCCCGTAAAGTCTTAATGCCACCGACAAACAAAACATAAATGGTACAGTAATTTTTAGTTTCATATATACGGCCATTATTTGGCACTGTGTGTAAATAGAGTAAACAAACAAATCGACAGCTCAGTGATCAAGAAACGTAACAACAGCAACTAATTACACATCGACACATGCAAGCAGGCTGTTCTTTAAAAGACAAGACATAATGTTAGCTGATTATATATTGTCTATATGTATTACTCTGAAATATTTAACTCTACTTCTGAGATGCTATTTATTTAATAAGTTACATTCAGCTTAAGTAAAATAATTTCTCCATTTTGTAGCAGTTTGAGAAAAATAAAATAGATATCTCTGTTTATCCCAGGGACGAGTGTTCACTGAGTTTCAGACATCCTCATTAATACCTGCAAAAAAGAAGAAGAAGAAAATACAGAAATAAATACACCAAATAAATCACATTAAATCTCCTGTGGTTACAAAACAGGAGCTGTAAAAAAGCTAGACGCCATCGTGGTACCAACCTGTAATAATTAGGTTTGAAAGGGCCGTTCTTGTTGAGGCCCATGTACTTGGCCTGCTCGTCAGAAAGCTCCGTCAGGTGAGCGTCAAAGTTTGGCAGGTGCAAACTGGCCACATACTCATCTAAAAGCAGAGACAGGTTGTAATTCACACTTTCTGGATGTATAAAGCTCAGGATCTTTTATTCTCTGAAGGGTGTAGCTTTTTTAAATAGTCAAAAGGTGGCAGCAGTGAGCAACACTAAAACACAGTCAAGAGTTCTTACCCATTTTTTTGGGCAGAAGATAAACATCCTGTTTGTATCGTCCTTCTGGAGCATTATACAACTCAATCAAGGCCAGGGCCTGCAGACAACACAGAACCCAGGATGGACACAGTATACACAAGTAAGGACTGCAGATAAAACACACTTCTGCATGAAAAAGCCTCATACCTGAGTTGTAGCAGTGATAGACAACACAAACGTTGGCACTGTAGAGCAGCTCAGATTTAAGAGGCGACCCTGAGATTAAACAAAATCATCAAGTGCTTTGTTGATTTTGTACACAAACCAAATCTACATTTCTATTTTAGCAAATAAAGCCTCTTTTCTGCTGTTCTCAATCCTAAACCTTTGTGATGATTTACAGTAGTGCTGACGTTACCTCCGCCAGAAGAACAACCCTCTTTCCATCTGGCCAGATGATGTGGTCGACCTGAGAGCGAACCCTCTCCCAGGTCAGTTCAGGGCTGCGCAGACTTGCCTACGAATATAAGAAGACATAATCACCATTAAAAAAAGACAAAAGTTAAAAAGAACATTTCTACACTGATCAGTCAGAACATTAAATTATGTGTCGACAAAATTAGCCCTGAAAAGTCAAACAATGAAAACAACCTTTCTCAGGGTGTCATGTGGAGTCTGGTGAAATGCTTGTGGCCTCAGTTTTGAGTGGGGGTGGGGTGAAGTGGCTCAATAAAGGCCAACTGAACCACTCAGAGTCACAGAAACAAGGTCAACACTCTGTTCTGAACTGTTTTTATTTAGGGGGTCAAAACAAACAGGGTAGGCTTTTCTATACAGCTTTAGGTTTTTAACAAGGATTAAATTGACCTTGACCAAATTTAATCCTTGTTAAAAACCTAAACCTGTATAGAAAGGCCTACCCTGTTTGTTTTGACCCCCTAAATAAAAACAGTTCAGAACAGTGAATCAGTGTAGTGTCCTGTTTATTTTAAATTCAGGACAAAGTTCATTCTTATATAAAGCACAAGTCTTAAATTACACAGATCCACAATAATGGTGGAAATGACCTGTATTTATTCAAGATAGGTTTGGGCAATGTAGATATAAAAATTTATTACAATTTATTGTGGTATTTAACCAATAATGATTACTATGACGATTAATAGTTTCACTTGCATGTAGCTGAAATTGTGGCCTTGGTCCACATTTTCTGGCTTTCCTGATACTCTGGTTTCTGACCGTGTTTCAGTTGATTAAACAAGTCAGTAGGTTTAACGTTAGCATTAGTTGCTCCACATCATCACAAAGATTTAATTAATATCTGCCAATAGAGTAAAACAATTTTACTTGGTAAGATTCTTGAAATCACTTAATTTGACTCAATTTTTTCTTATTACAAGAATATATTC